AAGACAAAAAGGAATAACCCCAAAATGCTGTATGAGTTCTCAGAGTGTATATTACTGCACCACGTAGCACATGGCACAAGGCACTAAACCGCTGCCCACTCTGCCTGAGGAGCTGAGATGCCAAGCTGGGTGTGAAAGTAAGGGCTCTGTAAGTCCCATAGTTCTCAGGAAATATGCACTACCTGCAGTGCAAAGCCAGGTTGAACATTAAGTCCCATAGTTCTCAGGAAATATGCACTACCTGCAGTGCAAAGCCAGGTTGAACATTCTTAATAGGACCATGTCTGGGCTGTGCTCTGTGTCAGATGCAAGCATATAACAACTTATGTGTTCATATAATTGCAATTATTGCTTCTTTCCATTAGAAAAAATATGCAGAGAAGCCTTGAAATGATAGCAACTCCTAGGTGAAAACAAAAAGCCCCTACATGAATATATGAGTAATTTCATATATGAATTATATTTTCCTTTTCATAGGAGCCTTATCAGGAAAACTAAAACCTAGAAAATTAGTCTGCTGTATAACTGTTTGTTATTTTAGTAAGCCATCAAATAAATATTTGATAACTTTATATCAAATCATTGCATTTGGCAATTTTCACTATGTTTCTATGTTCCATAAGGCAGGCCATGAAACTTGCAAGGTATGAAATATTTGTGTTTGTATCAGCAAAATGTGAGTGCTGTTACTCAGTTGTCATGGAAAAGAGGACAGTGTGAGGGCTTTTGTGTTGTATGAAAATTTCAGGATGTCAAAATAACACGTTTGAGTCTGAGCTGTAGCTAACTTGTGCCATTTCTCTTCATTAAGATGGCCTTCGCCGAATATTGTGTCAGGTTGGTTTGCAAGAAGGGCCAGATGGTGAAAATTCTTCTCTTGTAGATAAGTTGATGCTGTATGATTCTAAACTGTGGAAAGGTGAGTTTTCTCAAGTTCTGGAAACTGCTAAAGAATGCTATGCCTAAGTTTTACTGTATCTGCTAATGTTTGATCATTTTTACTGTGGTGTATTATGGATAGTTTTCCTAATTTGTTACAATCTCTCCCTTCGTGATACACTCCCAAATATATTTAAGACAAGAAAATATAGAGACCGTTGGGAGATGGAGTTGGTTTTAGGTCTAATTTTTCAAAGTGGTCTGAAATGAAGACTGACTTCGATATGCAAATGACAGTGATAGTTAAGGGAAATTGATTAAACAGTAGAGAAATTGGGTGTTTGTATAGGATCTTAGCATCCATTTCATATCTACCAAAATGCCTGTTTTTAAGGGATAAGGCAGAGTCTTAGAACATTCAGTGAAAACTACTCTTCTGTTGTTTTAGAGCTCTTAAAACTTTGGAAGGCTGCTTGATGTAATGGAATTAGCTAGAAAAGTTGTAACTTTGAGGAAAGGGAGGGAGTTAATTTCTATTCCCTCATTGATTCCACGTCTGATTTGATATCCTGAAAGGGTGTGTAAGGCCAGATATAAGAAAGAGAAGTACAAAGGACAGGTAGGGAATGATGCAGTATGTCTGCCTGTGGACCTTCCTTGGAGTACCAATAAAATAAGTAAGAAATAAGGTGGAAAGTGGATGTAGCATGGAGAAAATTATTATTTTAAGTTTTGTTTATCTTGAGAATGAAGTCCTGGCACTGCAAATTTTGTAATCTGAAAAGTACCGCTTTTGTGGAACATTACAACGTTTTTAATACAGGTTTTGTTAGGATAATGTCTTTCATGTAAGCAAGGAGTAACTTTTGCACTTCTATTTCAACATGAATATTTATCTACTTTTTCTTGTATTCCATAGTTCCTCTCCATTAAGGAAATAGTGTCATAGCTTTTGACTTAAAAGTGACCACCTACAGAAGAAATTATGCATGTGTGTATTTGTTTCCTAGCCACATAGAGATTAATATAATTTGTATTGATAATACTGTCCAGGAGGCTGTCCAGACAGACTAGATACTCAGAGATAGCTTAACACTTATTTTATGGTGATGTTCACAATTAGGAAAATTATTTGCAGTTCCCAAGACTTCTCATAATAGTGTTCTCTTCTTTTTCTGTCTAAATCCTCTGTTTATCCTGAGGAGGAACAGAGTTTGTTCTTGTTTTGCTGATTTCCCTTATATTTAATGATATACATTCCCATTCAGCAGTGTTATCTTATACAGGAGTAATAAATAATGCCTCTTGAAGAATTTTGGTTTATTATTCTTCTTCATCCATTGCTACCACCCGACAGACTTAATCAAAGCAGCTTCTACTCTGAAATGCAGATTTACCTCATTCTGTGGAAGTTTACTTTTCTAAATTTTCCATAATATGTTGATAGAAAACAGTGACATGCAGCATCTCATTCATTTTTCTTGACAGGGGCCAGAAATGTGTATCACCAGTTATTCATGAGCAGTCTTCTTATGGATTTGAAATACAAGAAACTTTTTGCTATCCGCTTTGCAAGAGTAAGTATCTTTCGTACAAAGAGACATTAAATGCTAAAACTGTCTAGTGAAGAGAGTCTAGTTAGCATACAGTGATTTAAATGAACTGTTACTCGATATTTTTTTTTTCCTTTTTATGGAAGTGAAAACTTGAAATGAAATGCTGGAAATCTTACTTTACTCTTCAGTATATTAGTTATAATGGCATCTCATCTCCTGGGAAGGAAATGGCCTTTCAGATGCCCCAGAACTAAAGCAGTTCAGATGTTTTTGTCTTCACCATCAGCTATGCAGGCTGTCACTTTTTAAGAGCTAATCGCTGCTCATTGTTGAGGTGTAAGCTGTTATAGCACTGCTCAGAAATAGTGCTGAAATTTGGTTACGCTGATTAGTATTTCTGCAGTAACTGGTATTTGAAATGCTTTAAATCAGCACTGCGAAATTCTGCTCACTCTGCTGCAGACTCTTGAGTAGAAAATAAAATACTAGCCTTTATCGTGGAAATGAGAGTGAGTAGATCTCACATGTGAGCAGATTAAGTTGTCATATTCTTTGTACAAAATACCCATATAATAATCCATTAGAGTTAGTCTTCCCTTTCTCATGGCATTAAAGTTTCCCAGAGCAGACATTTAAGTTAAAAAATCAGGTCAGTGTGGATTAGAGGTGAATTTCCCCTTGTTGTTTAGAATTACCGGCAGTTGCAGAGAGATTATATGGAGGATGATCACGAACGGGCAGTATCGGTGGCTGCTCTGTCTGTCCAACTCTTCACTGTACCTACTCTGGTGAGTAGTGCCTGTCTTTCTTTTAAAAACTGATAGTTGGCACTCCTTGCCTTTTTTTGCCTCCTTCTTAATAGAACTATGAGCGATTGCAGAGTGATTTTATGAAAGATGACCACGACAGAGAGTTCTCAATTGCTGACCTCTCGATACAGATATTCACAGTGCCTTCTCTTGTAAGTACTAAAAGACCAAAAAAGGAAATCTTTGTTTGTTAAAAAGCCTCTCAAGGTTCATAAATCAAGGCTGCAGATTTCTTTAACATTACTGTGGAAATGCAGAACAGTCAGACTGTTTGCATACATTGCTATGGGTTTAGAAGTTAAAACATTCAACAGTGGGAAGTTTCAGTCTGGCTTCCCACAGTGGGCTGGGTGTTTCTGTTTTTTCTTTTTACACTTTTTTTTTACTTTTTTTTAGAAAGGTACTTTCATACTTCATAGAGATACATACACGTAACATTCAAACTCCTCATCATACTGAGCCACATTTCCTGTTTGTAGAAATCTATATTATGGTTTGAATATCATGGTTTCAGAGCACCATTCTGGTGCAGTTTGTAAGTGATCCACTTTATGTTCATTTTCCAATCAACACAAGTGCAAGCAAGAATTTTCTCATGATACTCCCTACTTCCTTTGGTACTTTGAGGCTCAAGACAGTGTCATCTTTTAGATTTCCAGTTAACTTTTGTTTCGGTGCTACAAGCACTTCTCCCAGCTCACTAAATCTGCTGGTCTTTCACCAGCTTGTTTGGGAAACTTTTTTTTTGTGTTCCAGTCTCCATTTAAGTTTGTCTTTGCTTGCATTATGAACTAGAAAAATTAAAATTTGGAGCTGTACTGGAATAAAAGTCTGATTTTATTACCCAGAATTGTTTAAAAAATGAATGCTTCTGAATCCTCCCAAATTTAATAAGCTTCATTGAGCTCTTAAATTCAATAATCACAATACTTAGCAAACTTGTTCAGTTTCTTAGAGATGGATGTTATTCATGGGAATTCAACAGGAGCTCAGGATTTTGTTCCCATGGTTCAATACAATATCGTATTGCCTCTTCCAATTTTGATGCTTTCAGTAAGAATGTTGGCAATATTCAGACTTACAGTGAGACTTAATCAACTAATTTTATTCAGATGGTTATGGTATTATTCCCTTTGGCCGATGGGGTGGTACAATATGTGTATCAATACATACTTTTTGAAAAAGTAATTTTAAACATTTCCCAGAGCAGAGTAATTGCAGTGCCCCTTTTATATGTGTTCTGTTATAAAAGCATGCGAAAAAGCAAAGCAAATGCATTTTGTCTGTAGTGCAGAATGATGGAATAAATTGACAACATGAAAGTGATTATGATAAGCTTCTATCATGTGAAATAAGTATTATTTTTAATATATTTATAGCCACTCATTCATAACTAAATGAGAAAGTTAAATGATTTAAACCACCACACCATCTTGTAGTAACATTTTCAGACTGATCTTAATGATTTAAGAGTTTGAGCTCACAAGGAATTACGGTTCTTTGGTTTAAGGGTGGATGGGCAGCTCTGTTGGTGATGATTTTTTGGGAGGAAAATGTTAATCACTAGATTCTTTTCCCCCACTGCAGTAGTATTTTAGAAACTATTTTGTATTATCATTAGCAGCTGTAGAACCTGGAAGCTTTAGTCAAGAGCCACAATGTCACTGTGGTAGATCAGAGTGGCCAATCTTATTGAGTCTAGTAGCCAGAGCCAAGGACTGCAATGCTCATCCCATTTAACCTGGAGAAGCAGCAGACTGGGGGAACTGTGGAAGTGTTCATGAGTAGGAGCTGGCAGTAACTTAGTGCCTTCTCCTCTGTTGTGAAGTTGGATTTGGTTAGGCTGGGTGATGAAGACAATCTTTGTCAAACTTTGCTGATTTGTTTCATACAACACATGGATATATGCAGTCGACCTTGAGGGAAATAAGAGGTTATTTAGTGAAATTTCCATGTAGAAGTTGCATGTGAAGCTCCTTACTGGTTCAGAAGAGGCTCTGCTCACCACAGCTCTTTACAGTTTATAAACAGAAAACAGAAGAGCTGTGACTCCCCTCAAGTGCTCAAACTATCTGAGAGGAGGCAACACATACTTAAAGGGAGGTACAAGTTAATTATAAGACACATAATAACATGTCTTGTGCCATAATTATATAGGTTAACAGGGCCCTTACCACAGACAGTCTAATGTACAGAAAGGATCTGAAAAAAGAAATCTGGCTTATGATAATTTTTTAATAGATTCCTTTTTTTTGTCTTCTGTGATTCTGTGAAAAGAGTGCTTTTCAATGTTCTGTTCTAATTATTGATGTAATTCTTTTGGATTAAAAAAATAATGTATTTTATAAACTTCATGGTGCAGTGTGAAAATCTTGTTAGCTGTGTCTGTTAATTACAGCAAATTTCAATGTACTTTGGCCTAGGCTCGAATGCTAATAACAGAAGAGAATCTCATGACCACTATCATCAAGACTTTCATGGACCACTTAAGGCACCGTGACATCCAAGGGAGGTTTCAGTTTGAACGTTACACTGCTCTGCAGGCTTTCAAATTCAGACGTGTCCAGAGCCTTATTTTGGATCTCAAGTAAGTATACTATGTGCTGATTTGAGAAGTTGAGGAGTTAAAAAAAAAACAAATCAAAAATGAACACTTGTATCTTTCTAATCTCCCCAGGTACGTGTTGATAAGTAAGCCAACAGAGTGGTCAGATGACTTGAGACGCAAGTTCCTGGAGGGTTTTGATGCCTTCTTAGAATTACTCAAATGTATGCAGGTATGTAAATCTGTGAATTAAAAATTTCGCAAAATTTAACCAGGAAGTTAGCAATAATAATGTCAAAAGAGAAGAAATTTGATCTACTCTTCATTTTATAACTTCAGTGCAGTATCACTTTTGGAGCCATTGTGTTTTCCTAAAACATAACATCTTGTCTCACTTTTTAAACTTTTGTTGTAGAGGTCAATAAAAAGGAAGAGCAGTTCAAAATGAGTAGTTTAATTTGGGGCATATTTCGGACTTGTAGAGGCAGACAAGACAATACAGTGAGCAAAATTTGGTTAATCTTAAGTGTCAGCAGTTCCTCCTTGTGTTGAGGAATAAATTGTTCCTGACACACAAATAGACTTCTTCACTTGTGGTTTCATTCCCTTTCATTCCCCCAGAGTTCTTTCTACCTGTTGCAGCAACAATATGTTTATAAGGACAGCTAACCACTGTCTCACATCTCTGCTAATGCTGTCAGTGTATTTCAGTGATACATTGTTGAAATGTATAATTCTTTTTGTTTTAGGGTATGGATCCAATAACTCGTCAAGTAGGACAACACATTGAAATGGAACCAGAGTGGGAAGCTGCATTTACACTGCAGATGAAAATGCAAATCTTTTCTGTATTTAAGCACAAGTGTGGTTTGTACTGACCAATTCATAAGACTGTAGATAAGCCTTTTACAGATACTGCAGAGTTTTGTCACACATCTGAAGACTGTGATTATCACAACACTATTATCACTCAGGTTATAATTTTCAAAGAGGAGGGAATGGAGGAGTAAGCCCTGGATCTACCAAATACTTATTGATAAATCATGTTTCTACTCCGTAAGTGTTTCAAGTTTCAGGATTTCAGAACTTGAGCATGGTAAAATATGACTGTGGATGGTAAAATATGACTGTGGAATAAGTGATCCTGGAATACCTGAACGTTCAGGCTGGCTTTAATTTGTTACTGGTAGTTAATGTGCAGGTTTTACTAGCCTAGCATGATCATTGCTCAGCAAGTTATCATCATGCTAGTTACAAAAAACCCCCAAACCCAAACAACATCCTAGTGGGTATTTTTCTAATCAGACATACCAGTACGAATTTTGCAGTTTGTGCCCTCCTTAATTTGGCTCTTTTGTTGGATTTCTTATCTTAATTTTGCAGGACTGTTGTTAAAGGTAAAAATTGCAAGCCCTTTGTGGTCTTTTTTACGTTGTCTGTATTATTTTTCAGAGCTGTAGTTTTTTCATAATCTTAGTAAACTGCAATATTTCTTTTAGGAAAAAGTACTGATTGAAGCTTACAAGAAATGCCTGACTGTATTGATGCAGTGTCATAGTGGATTTACTGATGGAGAACAGCCTATTGTCCTCAGTATGTGTGGACATTCAGTTGAGACCATCAGATACTGCGTTTCTCAGGAAAAAGTCAGCATTCATCTCCCAGTGTCTCGTTTACTTGCAGGTATGAACAGTTGGAAAATATTTCAGAAAATGAAAAAATGTTCTGTAGATGTGATTTGTGTTTTTGTGTACCTGAAGACACACACAAGCATTGTTTAATGCTTGAATAAGATGAATTTTGGCCATTTTCTAGCTGTTTGGTAGCTTCTAGGGCAGATGTTCTCAAGCACCAGAGAACTTGTTATCATTCAGGCTGGGGAAGATTGTCTCATGCCTCTGGATTTGTATTATAGGCAGCTACTGCTGCTTTTGCCACTTGAGTGATGCAAAAGAATTACGACAAAATATGGACTGTGGTTGACTGTTTTGGAATATGTTTAGCTGCCAGATTGAATAGACTAATCAACATTCTGTTAGAGAACAGATTTATCAAACAGATGTGTCACCAGAAAACCGAGCTATGCCTTTCTCTTCATATTGTGCCTATCTTGTTCAGCAGTTGTGTTGAAAAAAGCTTTGTGAATTTTAGTTTACAGAATCAGAAGGAACGTGGTAGAAATAAATTCACAAATAATGAAGTGAAAAAATAAAATTCTTAGGTAAAGTGCCATACAGCTCTGTGTCAAATATTTGAATATTTGAATCTTTGAGCAAAGTCCTTGTAACTTCAAAAGAGAGCAAACCAGAAAACCATAATGTGTTTTGTAGGGGCCTTATTCTGGTTCCTGAGGTATTTTATAAACCCCCCAAGGACTGATAAAAGGGGTGAGGTATCTGCTGTAATGATTGTCGAGACAGACCAAGGACTCTTGGCTCTCACTGCAGGGACATGACAGAGTCAAAAAAAAAGGCAGAAATCTCACTGGTACTGCAAGGTTTATACAGTTACAATGGGAAAACTTCAATTCTCTTAAAATGTATTCTTTGTAGCTTGTTTCTTCAGGTAATAGCTGTGTAGCTCTGAGGTGATAAATTTGCAGACCTGTATCTGTGTCCGGACAATGGTCCGAGAGTAAATTAGATTACTTTTTTTGTCCTCATTGAATTACATAAACTATTGTATGTAATTTTCTGTATGTTTTTTCTGTGTCTTTACCTAGGCTTGCATGTTTTGCTGAGTAAAACTGAAGTGGCATACAAGTTTCCAGAGCTGCTGCCCTTGGTATGTCATTAAATGTAGTATATTCATTAAATATAATTAATGCTGAACGTGAAATTGGTCTTGTAAGTGTAGGATGGTATTAAACAAAACAAAGGACCTTTGTACCATGAATTCTACTAAGAGAGAATACATTTAATGCATAAAATTGCCTCTTAAAAGATTAATATCCAGATATTCATGAGCGTAGGTGATCATTATTGCTTGCTAAAGTAACTAAGACTCAGGTTGCATGACCTCCTTTTCGTAGAAGAAACTGCTTTTAGGAACCCCAGTCAGGATCTGATTCCTTCTCCTTGGGCTGGGTTCTAATTTTCTTCCCCAGCTGTTTCTTGCTTTCTGACTGCTTTATTGATATGCTGTTTCTTTAAGGGGTAGTCAAAAAATGTAAAATAAAAGAGGATAAAATCTAACTGGGAGAAGAAATCTCAGTGTCTTTGGAAAGAAGTAGTACTTAACCTTTGAATGAAAGAAATGAAAGTACAGTGTTATTAAATTGCTGGTGTTGATGTTTTAAAATATGAAGGCTGCTGTCTTTAGGAATAAACTAAAGCCCTCGCGCAGTAATTTTGTGGAGCAAAGACGGAATGTAAGGGTGATTAACAACAATTTGAAAGATTGTGAATAGGCTCATCTAACTTTTCTTTTGTTGGATTTGCTTGTCTTTTGTAGTGCCCAAATATTTTAGTGATCACAAATATAATCTTCCATCATTTCAGTCCCATTTTCCTTTATTTTCTCTATATACATCAAAATATTGCATTTTCTTAATGCAGAGTGAACTTAGCCCACCTATGTTAATAGAACATCCTCTACGATGCCTAGTCCTATGTGCCCAAGTGCATGCAGGGATGTGGAGAAGGAATGGCTTCTCTCTGGTTAATCAGGTAAGTGCACAGTAGCTGTAGAATCACTCTTTCTTGATACCTCTTTCAGGCTAATATCACAGAATCGATAAGGTTGAACAAGACCTCTGATATCATTGGTTCCAACAAGGGTTCCAACCCTTGGCCAAACACCACCTTGTGAACTAGACCACAGCACTAAGGGCCATGTCCAGTCACATCTTGTAGACCTCCAGGGCTGGTGGCTCCACTACCTCCCTGGGCAGTCCATTTCAATTTTTAACACCCCTTTCCATGAAGAAATTCTTCCCAGTGTCCAACCTGAACCTCCCCTGGCACAACCTGAGGCTGTGTTCTCTTGTTCTCTTGCTGGTTTCCTGGAAGAACCTCAGTGTATTTCTTGAAGTGAAGGGCCCCCATTTGGACACAGCACTCAAGGTGAGACCTCACCAGTGCTGAGTATGGAGGGAGCTCTTGGTCTTTACAACCTCAAAATCTTCTTTTCCTGTATTGATTTGAAAATGTACTTATGTCAGTCTTATGGAAGGCAATGTGAGGTAGGCATTTCTATCAGCACTGACGTCATCTGAGTATTTTTGCTTTTCAACTGATCTTTGACTTTTTTTTTTTATTTAGTCAGAAGTTGCTTTTTCGTTTCAGGACTGCCTCAGTAGCCACTGAACTTAGTGCTCAGTTTATGAAGTTAAAATGGCTTTTTTTAATGTGTACTGTCCAGCAGCAGTTGGAAGTGCAGAATTAGATCTGTGCATCCATGGTAATGCATTTATCACCTCCACATAAAAGTGTCTCAGATATAAAAATGTGCAGCATTATGATATCATGACTATTTATATTTATAAAGTAATTGAAATCTCAGGACCCCACAAAGCATTAGAAGCTATGTAGGACTAAATGTTTCTTGGCTTTTAGCTCTACTACTTCTGGAGACTTTCATTTCTAAACTTATGTTCTCAGTGTTTGTATAAATTAGGTGTTTCAAGCATAACAGCTATAAAATGGGTACTGTGGTGTCAATACCACCCACCAGGGTGATTGTCTCAAGTGATTTTCTCAGCAAGACTTAAATTACAACAGGAATAGGGTTTAATTCTGTGAGGTGTTAACTTGATTTATTTGCAAGAAAATTCCTTCAGTCCTGTCAGCCCTCATCTCCATTAGGTAATTTCAATGTATATTTACTAGGAGACTGAATTAAGTTGTTCAAATATATTACATTCTGATGCATCTTGAAGGATCTTCATAAGTTGGTGTCCTTGTTGTCATTACAGCAAAAAGAGCTCTAGTTATGTACAATTATAGTGGTGCCCACAGTGCAGTAGACCCATATCAAATCAGGAATTTCAGCATAGCTTTTGGTAGTGAAACAAGTCTCTGTGTTAGTTTCCCCTGGTTGTTGGGATCCTGAAGTTAAGAACTTGGTTTAGTTAACTCCCACAGTCTGCAAGTCCTTTCTCTTTACTTCAGCTATGAGGAGAGCTCATGTTCAGACAGCTCCTTTTGGATCTTCGCAGATAATAGGAATAGGCATCCTGTTCTGTGTGGATTATTACAAATGTGTGGGTTATTAGGATAGAGAAGAAAGGGAAGGCATGCCTAGCTGTCCTTCATGTAATTCTGGTGGAAATGGTATGTGTCTAGAGGAGACTTTAGCACACTGAAGTTTTTTTCCAGGCAGAAATTTGTCAGCTCTATTTATTTTGTCTCGACTGTGGTAGAATAAAATTTTCCGACCTTTCAGTGTCATGCAGTGTTGCTGCTGCCTGTCTCAGTCTTGTTGAGTTCCTTCCTGGGATGGTTTGGGTTAAGTATAGCTCTGTCACAATATTAACATTTTGCTGACACTGCCAATTCCTGAAAGATGGTATCTCAAATGATTAAAGAGCAATTCATGGAGTGAAGGAAAAAACATTTCTCCAACTGCAAGGGCTTTCTCTCCTGTGAATTTCAAACAGTTAATTGCTAAACCAATATATTAAAACATAAGCTAAAGAGGTCAAAAATATTTTTGCTTGTAAGTTTATGCAATCCAGACATTGCAAAACTACAACCCAGCCAGCAACTGTGATTGTCCTGTGCTTTATTAAAAAGCTTTTTTTGCATACACATAGAATTGTATAATTTTTTTAAAATTTGCTTCAAATTTTCCAGATCTGTAATTTTTTCAAATTACAGATTCATTTTTTGTTTATGAACACAGTGTAGCAAAGTTTATTTTTTACAAAACTAAAATAGTTTTAGGTTAAATATTATCTTTGTTAATGATTGTGGTGTGGTGTTTTGGTATTTTTTTCAGATTTATTACTATCATAATGTGAAGTGCAGGAGGGAGATGTTTGACAAGGACATAGTAATGCTTCAGGTAATCATGTATACCAGTTTACATTTTTTCAAGTATTTTCAGGATGTCTTTGTGTTTATTTTTATCTTCATTAGAACCATTTTAAGGAAAAAAAAGTCTTATTTTTTTTGTGGAAGGACTTCAATTTTCTTACTTTTTCTACATAATTATGGCATAATTTTTAAAGGAAATATCTATCGTTATTTAAAGTTAATTTTATTTAAATATTTTTATTTAAATTTAATACATAAATAAATTTAAGAATTTAATACTTGTTTTTAGCTACACTTCAAAAAGTGCAGAATTTTCTGTTTAGTGTATATATGCCAGATTTTCAAGAATGTAATATTTTAACTAATGGGTGTCTACTGGCAGTTGCATGAGTCTGCATGTTGTCAGAAATGCATTCAGTGTATGTGTTAAATTTTTTGTTTTTCCCCTTCAGAAGAGATTTTGCACACGTGGCAGTCCATTTTGCTCTATCACAGATGCAATGCTTCTGCATTGAGAGCAATATAATCTAAAATTGGCAGCTCTGGGTGCATAGTTCACCTGGACAGCAAAATATTTTCTCATGATGTCCCCGAGATCTTAACTAGAAGCAGCAATACCCAATAGGATAAACATGCCCCAAGTTACTTCTGTTTTCAGACATAGTTCCCTGAGGCTTGATATGCCACTGATTTTTAATGATCATTTTCAGCTGCCCATTTGGTTAGATAGCCTGTAGCTTTCTTGGATATTTATTATCTTTTAGAGATGAGCCCATTAGCAATAGTAAATTAACAATAAAGATTTGTAGTTGGCAAACTTAGATACCATGTTTAATAAACAGAAAAAACTTTAGCCAGTAATACTCAGAAATGGGCAAATCTGAACATTAATGTTTGTTCTGTACTGAAACTTCAGTATTTTTCTTACCAAGAAGGTTTTGGAAGCTTTGCACTACAATCTTCAGCCTTTCTTTAGAGGACTGGAATTTGTTGTTAAAATCTTCAGTGGTATGTACTAAGTAACATTTTGCCTGCTAGAAGATAAGCCAGCAGGAACAAAATTTTAGAGATAAAAACAAAGTCTTTCCCTGAAGTTTGTTTAGACTGCTTAAGATAGAAGGAGTAACCCTGAATACTTTGCATGATGCCCTTAAAAGGGCATCAGAAATTCTTGATAAAGCATAGGATTCTGCTTGTCAAATGGGCTTACACTTCTGGTTTTGGTGTCCTGAGAGAGTTAACTTAAATATTTAAGTCTTCATGTGTTGGATTGAGAGAGGAATTAATTTTATAGAGAATATACAGTGAACATCATGTATAAATATGCAAACATCGTATGATAACACCCGATCTGTTTTCTCTTTATAATCTTTTTTTTCTTTAATAGACAGGTGTGTCTATGATGGATCCAAATCACTTCCTGATGATAATGCTGAGTCGCTTTGAACTTTATCAGATATTTAGTACTCCAGACTACGGCAAAAGATTTAGCACAGAAAATACTAACAAGGTATTTTATGCACTGCTGCAATAGAAAATCTTCAGTTTGTTTTTCGAAGCATATCAGATGCTGTTGTACTGAGACAGAGCTATTTCTTGATAAAAAAGCAAAACCTATCCAGTTTTAATTTCATTTGGCCAGTTTGAAGTATGCATAAATGTTTTTATCTGTCAAACTGGCAAATGTCAGAAAGTGTTTTTGCACTTATGACTTGTTTTAGCATAGCTTAGTTTGGGAGTACTAAGGGTGAAAACAGGCAATGTTTTGAATCACTGAAAAAATATTTTCAGCATATGGAATAATTATTGAAAAATGTAAATTTTTTTTTATTGTTTTACTTCAGGATGTTGTTCAACAAAATAACACTCTTATAGAAGAGATGCTGTACCTCATTATAATGATTGTTGGTAAGTTCAGAATATATTGAATTAATGTTTTTTAATTCAGGCTCTTTAATGGTCTGCGCTTTTTATTGCTATCTCAGGTTCAGTCCTGTTGTGAACTTCCTATACTTCTGATTTCTTTCATAGGAGAAAAGCCTTGAAACTAGCTTAGGTCAATGTAGTGAATTTTTGAACACTGGTGGGTGAACACAAGATTTCAGAAGGCACCTTATTTTCCAGACTCTAGATAAAAAGATAAAAAAAAATGTTTAAAAGAATTTTTAAAAAAAAGTAAAAGTGTATTTTATTTATACAGGTGAAAGGTTCAGCCCTGGAATAGGACAGGTAAATGCAACAGATGAAATCAAGCGAGAGATTATCCATCAGTTGAGCATCAGGCCAATGGCTCACAGTGAATTGGTAAAGGCACTCCCTGAAGATGTAAGTAATTGGATGTGGAGGGGGGAACCAACTTCCACTTCATAAGGCTGATTGCTGAAAAATTGTCTTTTTCAAGTTCATGTCACTTAATGTGGAATGAGAGCAGCATGATTATGCTAAGAGCAAGGTTAGCATGAGTACAAGTTAATAGTTCTCGTGGTAAGGGTAGGAAAGAGGCAAAGAAGGAACAAGATATGAAAGAGGCAGGAATCTGAGAGTGTCTTCAGCTACTTTCTCTTTTTAATACTGTTTCTAATCAGGCCATCTGGCCAGCAGTCTCTGAAGGCTGCTTGTACACCCTGAATTAGGTGTATGGAAGTGGGTTGTTAGAACTATCCAGAAATATAAGCTGTTATATTTTAAAGCCTAATAATAAGTGAAAAGACATGGAATCAGACGCTCTGTTATGACTTGTGTAACATAAATTCTTCATTTACATGAAGCATTCATTTGTCTGAATTCTATTATAAGTACTTTGTAGGACAGCAAAGCTTGCTTTCCTTTCTCCTTTTAATATTTTTTAAAATATTTTTAAAATTGTTTCTGAAGACAGTCAAAATTCCAAAGTTAATGTTTTACTGTACTGGTAATAATTTTAATTATTAAATATTTTTCTTTTCTTCTAAAAATTTTAAACTGAAACTATTTGAAAAGTCTGATTTTAAAATTATTTCAGAATAATGTAGGGTTGCATGAAAGAGCAAATTTTATTTAAGCTGGAGTTCTAAATTGTATCGTCAGTTCTAAATACCTTTTCCCTGGCCTGGTAACTGCTATGAATATGTATTGGAGGAAGGGGGTGGGGATATTAAAAGATAATTTGTGTATGAAGTAGTGTTACATATTTGATCTGATATCTCATGCTGCCTTTTGTGCTTGTTTCAGCATTTTTCAGTAACTGGTCTTTTTAGCTTTCCAGTATTTATTTCAATTTAAAGGCCTAGAAACCTGTGTATTGTAAAAATGTGCTGAGTAAGCTCACTTAGAGTTTTCTTGTGCTCCTGTTACATCCAAGTTCATTATGACAAGGAAAGGCAGTACAAATGGAGCACTTAGAATGGCATGACTTTTTCAAAGTACCTTTTGCAGAGATGGTATTCCTGAATGTATTTTCATGTTATATAGTTTAGTGTTCTCTTGAATGTCAGTAAAATGTACTACTTTGTACTACATTCATTTTGCATGCTTATTCTAGTATTGTATGATATTTGAATGTGTTTACTCCAAGAACTCCAGTAACACACTGTCTTGCCTTTTCATTCCATGTAGGAGAACAGAGAGACAGGGATGGAAAGTGTGATTGAAGAAGTGGCATGTTTCAAGTATGTTACCCTTTATTCTAATGATTCAACTTTAGAATTCACTAAATTAGTGAAAATGAGAGAATGAAAGAAAGAGGGCTGAGTCATGGTGATTTCCCATGGCTTTAATCAAGTGCAAAATTCTTAATACTGCTACTAAATTTCTAGAATGTCTGTTAGGCGGTGTTTGTTATCTTTTCTAGATAACTATTTATTCCCAGATATTAAGAACCAGTTGACATAAAGAGTTTTGTTTGCTTTGGTTTTTTTATAGAAAACCTGGATTAACAGGCAGAGGGCTGTATGAATTAAAACCAGAATGTGCCAAGAACTTCAACCTGTATTTCTATCACTTTTCAAGGGCAGAGCAATCAAAGGTAACTAGGAATTTAACTTCCTGGGGTTTATTTTGTGCCTTTTTTTTTGGTTTGTTTGCCTTTTTCCAAAGTTTGCTTCTGTGCAGAAGAATTACCAGCTGGATATTTGAGAATGTTAACAAAATTTGCCCAAGTTTTTGCAGCGATTTCTGTGCCGCTGGATCCTGTGCCCTATACAGAGCTGTTGAAATCAGTGGCTATTCAGGAGCTTGTCTGTCAGTTCCCTTGGGTCTTATTTTATGGAAGTATTTAAAACAATCTGTGTTTTCCCTTACCGTTATGGAAATGGCCATTTTAGCTTAAGCTTGCCTTACAGTTGTATGCTAGGAAAAGAATCCAGGCTGGCTCAAGAGAAAAGATTAATTTTGAAGTTGCATGCCCTACTTTACAAGTAGAACATAAGACAAACTGAAGAGACATGAAAGCTTTCATGTTTATTTAAGGCTGGAAAAAACCAGTAACAATGTAGTAAAGCATGAATGCTTTTTTGTTAGTTTTTTATTGGTACAGATTTTGAGTAATGCTGGCATTGTTCTTCTATTTCAGGCAGAGGAAGCACAGAGAAAGCTGAGAAGACAGAACAGAGAAGATACAGGTATTTATTTTTGAGAGGAGATGGGAGAAGAGGGAATCAGATATCCATCTGTGTATTGCCCTGACATTTAAGACTACCAGCCTATTCCAGTACTAGAGTAGAAGTTGGTTAGAAATTAAGCAATTTCCCTTATGTCTTCCTGGCTACAGTCAGGGATCTGATTTGTCATGGAACCAGCCTTCTGAAGAGCTTATTCTTATGGCTTTTCTGGTACACACAAATCATGTTGAATGGTGCAGCCTGTATTGGTAACACTTTATTGAGAGCTGTGCTCTGCCTTAGGATCACAGAAGGGTTTGGGTTAGAAGAAAGCGTAAAGGTCATCTGGTTCCAACCTCCTGCCTTGGGTTGAGCCATCAAATCAGACATTTTAAATGGGTGTTGCGAATTTTGGAGAAATGTCAAGCACACCAAATTTCCCTTTCAGCACTTCCACCGCCAGCTCTTCCTCCTTTCTGCCCACTTTTTGCCAGCCTGGTGAATATCCTGCAGTCTGATGTCATGCTGTGCATAATGGGAACTATACTGCAGTGGGCAGTGGAACACAACGGCTATGCCTGGTCAGAGTCCATGCTGCAAAGGGTATGGGTTTTTTATTTAAACTAATCCTTATGCTAATGGAGGAATCCTCATTATGGCATTTTAACATGATTTTATAGATTTGAGTTGTATACTTGGTGTCTGAAATATCCAGAATACTTTGAATGAGAAAGAAGTGGTGCTTCCTGATATGCAAAAGTATGGAAACCCCTCTGCCTCTGATGCAATTTTATTTTTAAAAGTGAATGGAAGACCCAGGTAAATTTCTAATGGGATGCACATGAGAGGGAAGAATTCTGCTTGAATCAATGGCAATAATGTTTATTGTGGTAGAGAGGTCATTAATCTGAGTTGTTGCATGTCAAGCAGATACTGATTTTTTTTTCTTGATGTTCCTTTGCTTATTTTCAGTTTAGGCTAAATCATTTTAGGAAAAAACACATGAAAATGCATAAAAGAATATTCCAGCTTGAAAATGTGTCCACTTTGGAAAACTTAACTGAGCTGTTTGTTCCTTGCAATTTATAATGATGTTTAGAAACCTGGAGGGTTATTGTACATTTTGGTGTCATGATTATCATTTTCTGGAGTGTGCAGAGAAGAGTAGTGAACTACCATCCAGGGCCTGTTTATATTGGCCAGGGTTGTTGGTTTAGGGTCCAACTCCAAACCTTTAAAAAATATTGATGGATTTTTAAATAACATTTTGCAAAAAAACCCCAGTTTTGAAACTGAGTATTAATTTTTTGACGTCCAGTCTTATTGAGTGTATATTACATTTTACAGCTAAATTTAATATAAGCAGTTCTTTATAACACAAAAAAAGTTGAAAATGGAACGATATATTGGTATTATAGATCACAACAATGTAGTTATAGTTAGGTAATGTAAGAATGCTTTGTTTTGGAGTAACTTTGAATAAAATAAGTTGGTTGGCTTTTTTTTTAGACTGAACTAAAATGTCTTCAGCCAGTCTCAAACTGTGAAATTCATTAGGGACCTATCACTTGCTCAGAAACTTGTGGCATTTCTCTGTGATGGTGCTATGCAGTTGTACTACATCTTTCCCAAGTCAACCACTTTTGTCTTGGAAGCACTTGCAAAGGTGGATATGAGACATCTGCAAAAGGTGCCCCATATATAGTGAGATCTTGTTAAATAGATGTGATAGACTGAGGAGAAATTAGCTGTTGTTTATTAAAACAAATTTTAAAAACTTCAAGACTCTCATCAGGTTTTGCCACTTTTTCTGTAGATACTTGGTCTGTTGCATTCCAGTTCTGTTACAGATTTTCAGGTGATTATCCATTCTTTACATGGGTGTCAATGTTGATTCCAGGCACCAGTAAACCTTTGTGTCTGGAGCATCCTGCCAGTTTTTATAGGGATGCAAAATGGCTGATGACAGAGTTCACCACCAAGAATGAAGTATCTCAGCTTCAAAATGCCATTCAGACTATCATAACGCTAAAATAGGGTAATTACATTTTTTAAGTTCAAGGAGATTACAGCTCTTCACTGACCTAAAAATTAACATTATTTTAAAATGTGTTTCTAGAGAGAATAAATTTAACTTAAAAATTTGAATTTTTTGTCGCTAAACTTTGTGTATAAAAAAAGTATATATAAAGTCTGCTTCGTGCTTCTTCTGTCCAGAGATTTGCAATAGTAACATGCAGGGGGTAGGGAGAAAGATAAGAAGTACTGACTTCTCACTCACTAATCAGAAAGAGGAAAGTATTTAATGTAGATTCTAAAGTTTCAAATAAACACTGTTGCTCCTGTGTAATGTAGCTTTGGAATTCTGTGTATAGAAATAACTTCAAATATATTTGTAATATGTAATTGTATTATATGACTTTCCTATTTCTTAATGAATTACTGTATAACAAGCTAAAATTTGTAATTTTTATCTAGGTTTTGCATTTGATTGGAATGGCACTACAAGAAGAAAAACAACATTTGGAGAATCTCAGTGAGGAGAATGTTGTAACATTTACCTTCACTCAGAAAATATCAAGTATGCCTTTTTATTCAATTATATAGCAAATTTGAAATAACCAAAAATGCCAGGATCTCATATTTTATTCTTCTGTAACTGTATTTACCAGAAGAGTCTGTTTGTTTATCCATCAAAATGTTATTAAGTTGACTATAGATAAATGCTTTATACATGTGTAGATTCTATGATGGTACAAATACTAAAGGCATTTTCTAGAGGAGAAACCCAGAAGCTGAATAATTCCTTCTATAAGTAACATCTCAATAAAGATTGCTGCGTGTGATCAAGTGCAATTGCAAAAATCATAGTTGCATTCCTAAATAGTCTTTTGCTCTTGACTGTCCTTTGTATGGTCTGACTAATGCCTCTAGTTTTGTTAACACATGTAAATTCCATTTAAAGTAGTGGAAAATAAAATATTGGAGGTTCCCAAGATGAAAACATCCAGGGAGCACATACAGTGAATTTCTTTTGTAAAAAAATATGGTCAGTGAGCAAAACTTTTCAGGATTTAGAAGTTATTCATGAAAAGTTTTGGAGTGAGGGAGAGTTAAAAATTACATATTGTGCCTATTTGTTGAAGGAATTCTTCAGTTGCTGAACAAGCATCGGGGTTTCTTGTTTTTAATGTTAGTGAATGATTAATTTTCCAGTAACAGTATAATCAACAGTATAATAATTGTAAATTTTCTCTCAGAACCAGGAGAAGCACCCAGTAACTCCCCCAGCATACTAGCTATGCTAGAAACACTGCAAAATGCACCTCATTTGGAAGTGCACAAGGACATGATCAGATGGATATTGAAGGTAAATATACTTTATATTGCCACTGAAAATCATGGAAATAAGATTTATGAAACTTTCCTAATTAAATTGGGATGATTTCCTTATTTCCCATGTCGATTTGTTGTACCTAGTTTTACTGTTCTGGATTCCAGTACTGCACATTGTATAGTCTGGATTATAGTATATACAATTGTATTTTCATGTCCCAAACAAATTAAAGGCTTTTTTTTTTTTTTTTTCTTACAGACTTTTAATACTATTAAAAAGCTAAGAGAAAGCTCTTCTTCAAGTCCCGTGGCTGAGACAGAAGGAAATATTATGGAGGAGGTAAAAACAATGTGTAACAGCTGATCTGGAGCAGGTCTGGGTGGTGACTAAGGACTGTATTTCTAACTGTAGCTCTAAATCAAACATGGGAAACATCAGTGACTTCTGAAAATCTGTTTCACAGTTTATAGACCAAACTCATTTGTTTGAAGAACCTATTGGCAAAGTTCCTAAGCTGTTTTCTTTTGTTTCATATATTGTAGTCTCAAAAGCTTTTGCAATTTTACTCCCTAGAATTGTCTGTAGTACAGTCACAGCATTAAATGTTTCTGCTGGTCCTGTAATTTCAGACTTCATGGGAAGTTGCTAAAATAAATGGTTATGTATATATTTTTACCATGCAGGTCATTCCAGATAAGCTCTGTTGATGTGTGTAGCTTGACATGAAATTCTAGGTACTGCACACAGAGCACTGTAGTGTATGTAGGAATGGAGCTGCTGTGGAGGGAGAGCAGCACCAGAGATGAGACATGTCACTCTCTTACTCTTCTGTCCTATGAACACTTAAAGGGAAGAGAAATACAAAATACAGTTAAAGGCTGAGGGGGAGAGGTTCCCCTTCTGGGTCTGCAGTTCTGCCTGGCATTGAACACAAGCTAAAGAAAAGAGGGCACAAAATAACTCTTTGGTAGACTATTCTTTTGTCTTCTATGAGATTCTCATTGTTTGGAGGTTAGTACAAGGTACGCATTGCAGTAGCTAAAATAAATAATCTGTTGTAGCAAGTCTTTAAAAATGACTGAGTGAACAATATTATTTCAGAGTTCACGAGATAAAGACAAAGCTGAAAGGAAGCGAAAAGCTGAGATTGCCAGACTGCGCAGGGAAAAGATCATGGCCCAGATGTCTGAGATGCAAAGGCACTTCATTAATGAAAACAAAGAACTCTTTCAGCAAACTCTGGAGGAACTGGATACTTCAACCTCCGGAGTCCATGAAAATAGGTAAAGGCATCTTGTTTAGATTTTTTCCCATTAATGTTTACATCAGATTGTCCTATTGTTACTGCTTTCAAAAGCTCTTTTTTTTTGGTCTTGATGGAAAACTATTAATTAGTTTCAGAGACAAAAAAACAGCAGTAAATTGAATGCTTCCCTCTCCCTCTCTGTCAGAATTGTGGGATAAATATAAACAGGCAAAAACTTTTCTGTACAAAATCACCTAGTAAATTATTAATAATGCTGAAGAGACTATGCTATTAAACATAGTAAATTGGAAATGGCTGATTATATGTCTGTTGAAGATCTGGAAGAAAATCTGAAAATCTGCTTGGTGGTTGGAAATATGCTAATGATTTTGTGGGGAAATGGAGAGTGTTTTCAAAATTCATATCAGACACTTAAGGGATGCTGATGATGGAGGGCTGCAGATTCAGTTTCTGTGTTAAACTGGAGTGGGTTATAGTATTGGGAGGGTTATGAATTTTTCCTGGAAAATACATGCTACTTCTGGGCATATAGGAATTGTTATGTAAATGCCCAGAGAGCATTTATCATAAGTTTAAGAAACTCACTAAGCACACTTAAGTCGTGATAATACAATGTTTTTCAAATAATTTTCTCACTAATATTCTTTGAATATTCTAGCCCTGTAATTTCGGATGCAAAACTCACAGCCTTGGGTCCAGAGCAAACTAGAGTGGCTGAACCCAGACAGGTTGTTATGTGTATATTGTGCCAGGAGGAGCAAGAAGTTAAAGTGGACAGCAGGGCTATGGTCTTGGCAGCATTTATCCAGCGGTCAACCGTGTTGTCTAAAAATAGAAACAAAATTACTCCAGATCCTGGTAAGTAACTGTTCATAGTTGTCTTATGTATTAAAGAATGTTTGGGTTGCTGTGACAACAGCATTTTTTCATCTGAGACAGTGACATAGTGTTCTTATGTTAACTGTTTGTGAATAGCTTCATTGTAATCAGTGGCAAAACTTTCATATTTTTGGTGAGGTAGAAATGTGTGTGCTGAATAATGTAAACAACTGAGAACATTGAGCTTTTGCTATTCATTTGTTACAAATTATTTTTAACTGTTGAAAAAACCCTTAAAATCAGAAGTGTTTGTTCTTAAATCATGCCTGTGACATCAGAGAGAGGAGATGTTAATGTAGTGCTTTAAAAGCACAAGATGTACATTTTCTTCCTCTCAGTTACATTATCTGAAATGCCTCTAAGTGATAATAAGTAATCTTGGCTTTCGGTACTTTGTGAAACAGATCAGTGAGCAAAGGGCATTGTTACAAAGGTTTCTCTGGATTCTGTATGTGTAAACACATAGAAATCTTTGCACTGAATTGTTTTGCACTCTCACTCTGAAAATTAATGTCCTTGAACCCTGAAACTCATTGTTTGATGGTGCTGAACCACCAAAACTGCAGGTTGATCTTGAGGACTTGTACCAGGGCCCAACCCCTCTAAAAGCTTGGTTTGAAGCCTTTAAGTACAATACATACACTCAAGGAAAAGTAAAATGATACTTAAAAATAATTTAAACAGTTGGTACAGATTTGTAATGTGTTTTATGCTTCACCAACAGTGAACTACACTTCTGTGATAAAGTAAATAATAATGCAAATGTGGCAGCATTAATGTGCCATCAAGTACTTTGATAAATGTCTATTTCAAAGTTGGGTTTCTTTTTTCTTTCAAATACAGAAAAGTATGACCCCTTATTCATGCACCCAGATCTGTCATGTGGAACACACACGGGTAGCTGTGGACATATTATGCATGCACATTGTTGGCAAAGGTAAAAGGTTATATTTAAGTTTTTAGTTCAGATATTATTTTATGTTAACAGTTTGCCTAATGGCACTAATTTTAATGGCAATTTTCCTACCATGTAGTAAACTTGAATAGAAATTTCAGGAAGTGATTAAAGCAGTTTTTTTCTGTTGGAAAAAAAGGAGTAGAAATCAAATGCTGTAAACATATTCAAAATAATTTTCGTTTACTGTCATCTTGGTAAAGAAGAGTCCAAAGCCATACATGGCAGCTTTCATTCCCTTTCCTTGTTTATCACGATGCATGATTCCCTGTGGTGCACATGTATCTGGAGCTCAGATTTTATTTTGGTTTTTTTTGCAGCTCACTTCTAGACATGCTTTTGCTGCTTCTGCTCTCTACTGAGGTTTTAAGTGACAGTGCATCCCTTCCACTCTTAATTCCTCCAGCAGGTTTAATTTGAAGTATACACATCTGTGACCTAGTTCATCTTCAACATAAACTCAATTTTATCGTTTGTTTCTTAGCATTTTAATAAAGCCTTTTGCAGTTATTCATTAATTTTCAGAGGCCTATAAACATGCTTAGTCACATGTGGTGCCAATGCCACGTGACAAATTCAAACCATTCATGCCTCTGACTTCAATTAGACCCTTGCTTTGCTCCTTGGTATGGCTTCTGAAGTGCCTAATTTCAAATTCTGCCTCGTGTATGAAGAGTGGTAGGAGCTCCCAGAGATTCTCTGGCTATTACCACGCACAGGTTTAATTTGCAGTCTTTCATGTCACTGCTCACTGAAGATAGGCTTTTAATCTTCTTGTGTAGCTCGAGTACAGTTCTTTGTGGTTGCCATAATCTCCTGGAGATGCCCTTAGGTGCCTGTATTCAGATCATTTTGGGGTCACCACTGGGCACGCTTTAAACCACATCAGAGGCTTCTGGAATAGCAGTTACATTTAGCAAAGCAGTGAATTCAATTCCTTTTTCATAGAGAGTTCAGCCAACAGTTTTCTTGGCTGCTGCTGTTTGGTTGTGGCCTGTAATAGAAGACACCCAAGGATAATGCTCATGGCATCTTCTTAAAAAGTTTATGTAAAACTGAGTTGGGTTTTTTGTTGTTGTTGGTCTTGTTTGTTTGTTTCTTAGTGTTTGTTCATTTTTTGTTTGGGGTTTTTGTTGTTACGGGGGCTTTGTTTGCTTTTGGTGTTTTGTTTTGTTTGGGGTTTTTTGTTTGGTTTTGGTTTGGTTTTGGTTTTTTAATGCTTCAACTTGCTCTCTGCCTCTTCCCCTTTTTTCCTAAATGTAATGTTCAGACTTAACCATGATTTTAACATCCCAGTGAACTTCAGCACTTTAGGGTAGATTTTGGCAGCCTAAAGCACTAATGCTTTATCAGTCAGAGGGTAGAGATATTTTCTTTGGATACTCTTATCTATATTTGGGGGAAAACAAAACTGTGTCTTCCTGAGAATTTTTTAATTTCTATGTTCAAGTAATAATAATTTGCCACTAATGTCTTGCTCTGTTCTAAAGGTATTTTGATGCAGTCCAAGCAAAAGAGCAACGAAGACAACAAAGATTACGAGTACACACAAGTTATGATGTAGAGAATGGTGAATTCCTTTGCCCACTTTGTGAATGCTTGAGCAACACTGTTATTCCTCTGCTTCCTCCACCAAGAGTTTTGTTTAACAGGTCAGTTTGGTTTATAAATATCCTCAATAAATGTAAAAAAACAAGATGCCAAATCAGCTACAAATCAGAAGACCTTCCTGAATGTTTGTTGTCTTCTGTTTTGCTAGTCGTGTGGATTGCCTGTCTGTTTATTTTGCTTTATGGATTTTACTTCATTATTGTATATTAGGAAAGCATAGGACCCGCAGAAAAAAAACTGAACGTAAAAAATGTGTAGGAAGCAGAGGAAGAGCCCATTGAGAAACAGATTAATGATGTTGGGATGCCTATGAATTACTAATTCTGTCTACAGATTGTTTTTAACTGATTGTTTTGGGGATTTTTTTGACAGGTTAGACTTTTCAGGGCAACCAAACCTAACTCAGTGGATCAAAACAGTATCCCAGCAAGTAAAAGCCCTGCATTTACTTCAAAATGAAGACTGTGCAAGTAAGTTGAAGAAATCTGTATATTTGTATGTGAAAATGTTATAATTGTGGAAGAAGCCAAGCACTTTGGTTCTGCTGCAATGGAGTTGAGAGATGATGGCATAAGTGGCAAGACCAGCTTGATATTTCAGTTTCTGGTGATGGAATTTCAGATTCTGCTTCTGCATCTTTCTATAATGTAGAAATTATGTATAGGTGAATAATCAGTGATTTATTACTTTTTGTTTGTGCAGGCCATTCTGGTCATTCAGAAAAAATGGATCAGCTGCAATTACCTGAAGGATTTAGACCAGATTTCAAACTGAAGTATGTATTTGCATATTAACAAATCACTAAAAATTCATCATTAAATCATAACATGAAAACAGAACATAACTTCTGTGCTAGAAGGTCTCAATAATTAGGGCAAATATATGAATTTTGCTTTAATTAGAAAAATTAATGTTATTATGATAATGATGACATTGAAGTCCAGCCCAGAAGTCCTGAGTCATTCAGTAGACTTTAAGAAATTAATTTGCTAAGTTGTGCAGAAGCATGCTGCAGTTACATAAAGTATGGCATGAAGATTAAGTTTTATACTACTTGTAGCTGGATGAAGGATTCATCATTGTAGCCAGCACAACATGTAAAACATGAGAGAAGACTATGAAATGGAGAGACTGTTAATGTGTAATTTCAGCTGTAAACGTGTATTAGTATTTGGTTCTACACTCTCTTCACTTCAGGAGAAAGTAACAAAACTTGTTATGTAGTACACACATTGGTCTGCCAGCTGCTCACAAAATGCAAGACTCTTATCCCAGCTGATGACCTTTCAGTTTCAGTTACCTTTCAGTTCACACACATTTCTTGTAATTTAGTCTTGACTTTGTCTTTGAAGACTAGATACTCTTACACTTAAAATAAGGCTGGTTCCAAACAGATAGTCAAAAAATAATTTGGGATCTGTCAGAAAAAAATTGAGGTTACAGAATACCAGATTCAAAGAAGGATATTGGAGTTGTCACTTAAAATTCCAGTTGTTCATCTGTGGGGTTAGTGCTTATCATTACAGGTACTATGCTGCCAAAGGAGGACAGAATTAATTACTAATATTTTCTTTGTTACAGGAATCCTTATTCTGAGAGCATAAAAGAGATGCTGACAACTTTTGGTACGGCAACTTACAAAGTAGGCTTGAAGGTTCATCCAAATGAGGAAGACCCACGTGTACCTATAATGTGCTGGGGCAGCTGTGCTTACACGATACAGACTATAGGTACTGATCTGTTCATTTGGCTCCTCTTTAGGAGATTTTCAGAATTTGGTTAAACTCACAACAATGAATTTTGGTTTTTTTCCCAGAACGACTTTTAGCTGATGAAGATAAGCCATTATTTGGTCATTTACCTTGTCGACAGGTAAGGACCAACTAGCAATTGCTTTCTGAACTGGTGGAAAAAAGAGGGACTTGTGCTTCTTAGTGAGGAATATCTACATTTTAAGTCATGGTTATTGGATAGTTTTATTTCTTGGACCCTATTGTTTAGTTGATCTGTATCTGGTTATTAAACTATTTAAAAATCACATCTAGCAAAACTGTTACTTTTTTTTCCTATAACACATAATTTATTAAGGCTGCAGTTTCTCATGGTAACAGTCAAAATAAGAATGTCAAAAGGAACTTGCATATATGCATAAACATAAGTATTTGTCATATACTTACACAATCAAACTGCCCCCAGAAACTGCAGTTGAAAGGCCTGAAAAAAAAAACTGCTGTTAAGTCAAAAGACCTTTCCATGCTGAGGAACTTCACTGACTGTGGCAGTGTCTCTTTGTTTTTGCAGGATGACTGCCTTACGTCGCTAACGAGATTTGCAGCAGCTCACTGGACAGTTTCATCTCTTTCAGCAGTACAGGGTCACTTTTGTACTCTATTAGCATGTAAGTTTGCCAGCTTATGCTGGGTTTTTTTTGTGAAGAAACACGAATGCTTTCAGAATGACTGTTAGTATTGATTAGAAAAGAATATTTAATGTAGTGGTTTTAAGTAGTAAACCAAGAGCTGCTATTTCCACCTCTATGTGCTATGTCAAGAAAAAAGACATTTCTTTTGGACTGCAGCTCCAAGAGAAACATGGATATTTTGCTGTGAAGGAGTTCTGTTGGTTCTTCATTAGAGAAAGATACCTAGAGCAGAGAGGGAAATGTGGTCCTTCATAGAAATAATCCACTGGAGCTTTAAAGATGAAGAAATTAAGATTAATGTAGTGTGGAAAGGATATTTGCAGAAGTCTGCAAATTTCTCTCTTTGAAAAGTAGGATCTCTGATAAGGCAGGACTTACTAGGTAATGTCATATGTTAATTGAGTATTTTAATGAGAACAGCCAAAATGTTCCAAGCTTGAAGCATTAGTAGATACAGATGAAAAGTCTGAAGTTCAGCCTAATGAAGTAATTGCCCATGAAAGGACTGTTCTGAAAGGGTATTATAAAACAGGATAACTTTAATATCTCCAGTCAGCAGAGCAGAGAAACTTTTAAAATGCATTGATATACTGACATTGCTAGTAGATGGATATCAGCTACTTCAGCAAACAGTTGGCAGCTTTATGGGGAAAAACTTAATTGGCACCAGTTTGTAGCAGTAATGGTTGAGCTGTTTTCTATGTGAAGCAGAAGAGAAAATGCTGTTGGCTGTTTGAGTGGAACTTTGCAATATATGGTGTTCTGAGTGTTTTGGGTTTTCTTGGAAACTTGAGTCAATGTTTCTTCAAAGCTCTCCTTCCTTCCCAGTGATGGAAGCAACTATATTGCTTTTACTTCTAAGAAGGAAAAGTTTCTGTTATTTTATTTTTTCAGGCTAGGAATAATAAAAGTTATGAGCCTTTGATCTGTCTGTATTCTGTAAACAATACATAAAGATGACTTATTGAAAGTAAGTTTGGTTTTGGAAGTCCCTTGCTCTGGTCATGTTCTTGATACAGACATTTTTCACACTTTTGGGTTGAATTCTGTGGCTATATGGTGACAAAAGGAAAAGCATTTGAGTCGTGATGAAATGTTTGTTAATAGAAATAGCTTCCAAATGTCACACGGCTTCGGCTCTCAATTTTTTTGGCCAGCAAGGCAGCAGTCTTCAACTGAAGTATTTTTAAGTTGTCATGATGAGACTATTTTTTAATGTAGTAGAGTTTTGAAACTTGGCAGCTTAATACTTATAGCTACATTGTAAAATATACCCAGAGCTTTATTACAAATCAGATTTTACTGCTTGGAGTAAAGAAGTAAGCAGCTCTTCCTTGATTGTTACTTAAAATATCTTGTACTATTTTTCAAAACACTGAATTTGTGTTTGCTTTTAGATGAAGGTGCTTGGAATTTATTAAGTGTGTGAATTTCTGTTGTCATCTGAAGTGCTTTGGTTAATACTTGTGGTAAATACTACAGAGAGGGAGAGACAAACACCTAGCTCTACCTTAATTAGAGATAAAGTGATAAAGTGATGAACTCAAGAGACTGTAGCTATGCATTTTTGAGGCAGTAAGGCAAATGATTTGTGTAAGGCATGTTCAGGCAGTCTTGAAATTAAGCAAATTGTAGAAGTTTTATTTGAGCAGCTGTCCAAGAGACAAGGATCTCTGTTTCTATTTAGTCACTATTGTTTGAGCTTATTTCTGTCAGAGTTTGAGATACTGTCTCATTCTGTCTCCCCCTGTAAACCCAGGCAATGAAAGAAAGTCACCATGGGAGTAGAAGTGGCTACCTGGGTTTGTTTTGTTTTGATACAATGAGGTAGGGAAGACTCTTTTCCAGTCATGTTGGACAGTTCTTGAATTGATTCTGGCCAGAATAGGCATGTTTGTATTTTAAGTTCTTTAGGCATGTATATGTGGAAGATGGCTCTCATTTTTTAATGGAAGTACACTAAAATATTTTCATGTATAAATGTTCAATTAATATTTTTTTTTCTCCAAAATACTTAGCACTGGTGCCTAATGAAAAAAATGGGAATCTTCCTTGCATACTTGATATTGACATGTTTCATTTATTGGTAAGTATTTCTTAATATATATTAATGTTTTGATCTAGTAGGCACTATGTAAAAACTAGAGAAAACTTTCTGTTTACTCTGGGTTAGGAGCCTTTCAAAATGTTTGGGCTTTTAGTATTTTTTCACTACTTAATACATTTTGAAGACTTTATAAATTTAATAAAAGTATTCTTAATCAAAATATTAAATAAAAGCATTTAATAAATAAAAAGTAATTTAATAAAAAGTAAAAATAAAAAGTATTTAATAAAAGTATTCTTTCTTATAAATTAAAAAGGGGTAAGATGAGACAGAATGCATACTGTTAAAAAAACCCAAAATACAGGAAAACCTACCCCTGAAAGAAAACAACAAACCCAAAAAACCAGACAGACTCAAAACTCTCCTGATAGATAATTGTTGTTCTCTTACATAATGTCTGTATAATTAGGTTCCAAATTAGCCATATGTAGTATGCTGTCTTCAAAGGGTATAGTTGGACCATGAGCAGAGAGAAGGGGAAGATTCAAAAGTAAAAGGAATGTACCAATTTTCTTGTTTTCTTTCACAGGTAAGCTTGGTGCTCTCTTTCCCTGCCATACATTGTCAGGATTTTTCAGGGGTTAGTCTTGGCACTGGAGATCTTCACCTGTTTCATCTTGTCACTATGGCACACATAATACAAATTTTACTTACCTCATCAACAGGTAATGTCACTTTGTCTCAACTTTGATTGAAAAGATTCCTCCTTCTTTACTTAGGAAAAGGCTGTGGTGCTGCTGGTAAATGTGTGCACTTTACAGTTACAAAATGGAATTGTTGGTGCTGTCTTTGAGCCACAAAGAGTATTGATAAATTGTACTCGCGTTGTTTTTATTGCTCTACTCTGGGAGTTTCTTGGAGCATAGCTAGTAATGAATTCTGGCTTTCCAGCTTCTGTAGCACTGCCTGAGAGTGTTTATTATGGGCCTGCATCATTCATTTGCATGATGAATGAGTTGCAGTCAGCAAAGTAAGGAATCATGTATCTCCTAGCAAGAGGAGCTGGATAAGGCCTAGTTTTCCAAATGCAAGTACGTCAAGAAACCAAACCAATTGAAGAACTAAACCAGCACCTCACTGGAGCTGACAATAGCACAAACTTACCATATAAGATGTGCAGAAGAAAAATGCTGTCCAGTACATCATATTCTCAGTGGATTACTTCACTTTGTTGGGGCATTTTTATCAGAACTTGAAAAAATACATTCTTATTGTGTAAACATGTGTATATGAAACAATTTGTTAATTATTTATTTCTTCTGCAGAAGAGAATGGCATGGACCAAGAAGACACTAACAGTGAAGAGGAAGTAGCTGTGCTTACACTGTATAAATTTCTTTGCCAGTGTACAGGAAGGTAAAACCATGATCTTTTGGTAAAATTTTATGTTATTTTTCTCCCTCCTGAACTCAACTACTGACTGAAATCTATATACTAGTGCTGTCAAAGATGACACTTTTAATTTAGGAACTCTTATATATTGCTTATTATCCAGCACTTGTAGATTCACTTAAGAAATTATTCCTGTAAATTCATCTGTCATCAGGAAGATACCTGCTCATGAAGACTGTGCTCAGATTGTGCTAGTCAGTTTGCAGAATCTGGAATTGACAGTGTCTGAGTACAGAAAACTGGTTAGGATGGGAATGGCTTTGAATGGAAAGAAAGCAGGTTTTAGGTGAAATTAGGAAGAAGTTGTTTTCTGTGAGGGTAGTGAGGCACTGGCACAGGTTGCCCAGAGAAGCTGTGGACGCTCCATGCCTGGAAGTGTTCAAGGCCAGACTGGATGGGGCTCAGAGCAACCTGGTCTAGTGGAAGGTGTCCTGCCCATGGCAGGGGGATTGGAATGAGTGGTCTGTAAGGTCCTTCCAACCCAAAGCATTCTGTGAATCTCCAGAATCCAGAATTCTCCTTAAATTACTATTCCAGTTGGTTACATTTTAATGAATATCTGGTTTGTTGTTTTTCTTGGAGTTTGCTTTGAAGTAAGCACTTTGCATAGTGATTGTTTCAGCTGAAGTCAATAATTTAGTATGCAGTGTGACTGAAGACTGACTAAATATAGCTCTCAAATGGAAATGATTAAATAAAAGCAAACTTTTTTTTTTCTTTTATTCTCTTAAGTGCCTTGAAAGAAATTTCCTCAGGCTGGCACCTGTGCAGGAATCTAAAAGCTGGAATCATGCCTTTCCTGAGATGTTCTGCTTTGTTTTTTCATTACTTAAATGGAGTCCCAGCACCCTCAGAAATTCAAGGTATTGCTTTGTATTGAATCAGTTTTTAAGATGTAAACATTAATGATGAAAATAAATTATATTTAAACTCTCTTGTCTGAAGAAGCTGATTGGATGGATGTGGGCTTGTTACCAGTGCAGCATCATATCAGCATAATGAAAAAGGCAAAAAAATGAATTTGTTTGTTTTTAAAATGTATTTTTAATATAGAGGTAAATTCCATTCTAGATTACTTAAAAGAGGAATTGATTCCCTTCTGTTAATAAGGTTCTGTTTCAAAGCCACTATGGATTACTATTTTCAAATGAGACCTGCGTTTGCTTGCACTGATATCATTCAATCAGTATCTGTTAATAATTAATATTAAGGCCAGGTAGGATGGGGCTTTGAGCAGCCTGATCTAGTGGAAGATGTCCCTGCCCATGACAGGGTGTTTGGAATGAGATTGTCTTTATGGTGCCCTCCAATCCAAACCATTCTATGATATCTCTGTAAATTTGCTATGCTATGTTATACCCCAGATAATTGATGTTGGTAACATTCTTTACTGTCCTCCACATATGGCATATGTAGGGATAGAATGTAAATCTGAAGGTGGTCATAATACACATTTTAAATATAAAATTATGAGAATTATACCATTTTTATTTTTCAGTAAATGGAGCGAATCAATTTGAACATTTATGTAGCTATCTTTCCTTGCCAAACAACCTCACTTGCCTTTTTCAAGAAAACAGTGAGATTCTGAACACATTAATAGAAAGGTAAGTTGTGTTTTTGTGCTTAGTTTTAATATAGTAGAGAATCCTCCACAAGACAGTAGTGTAAGTATTCTCCCAGGAATACCTATGGAAGTGAATCATGGATTTTGAAAAGTGTTTGTGAAAGACATGTTTTGAAAGAAACCATTTTGGTTGTAGTGGTTTCTTAATAGATGTACAGTGGATTTTTTGCTTATTTGTTTTTCTATCATCTATTGAAGTTAAAAGCCAATTTTTTTTTCTTGTAGTTGGTGCAGTAACACTGAAGTAAAAAGATACCTGGAAGGCAAGAGACATGCTATCAGGTAAACATAAAGAGATTTTAAGCAGAGGCAGGGGGCAAAACTTTCATGTAGCAGCTTTCTCCAAATATTTCTTCTAATGGGTGTTTATAATAATTTATCTGTTCTGCTTTATTGAATAATAAAGATATTAGGGAAGAAATTATTTTTTTCTTAACTTTGTAAGGAAAAAATTTATTGCTTCAATGAGTAGATTTTAAAGGCAAAGTTTAATATTGGGGTTTTATTTAGAACTGATGTTCAGGAATTAGAAGTCATAAAATTTCATCTCATATTTCCTATTACTTTGTACCTTCTGATGCAAAAAATATGCTGTTGCTAAAAGATACGTATAACCTTTCTTTAAAAATACCAGGCATTGAAGAGCTTTTTAAATTGTCTTTTTAAAGAATTCCATTCCTTCAGTAAAGTCAACACCAAGTCAGTTGCTGAAAAGAAAATCAGCTTTTCATGCATTTGTTCTTGCTGCACAATTACTTTGAATTTAGAATGCATGTAATACTTAGTGGGTGTAGAAAGGCATTTAGGGTGTTGTTCTTTCTGAAGGCTGGGTAAAAATAGTGGTTAACAATTATACTAATAATTAAAAATGAGTGTGAAGTTCACAGTGCTGTCATTAAAAACATATCCCTGCTTTTTAATTTCCTGTGCTAAATACATAAAGTCAATCTTTTAACATTGTGTATACATTAAGGCTGTGACAAAAATAAAAATGAATCACTTCATCTGTGAAACACCAGACCATTAACAGAATTTCTTACACAGTAAGAGTACTCTAGTTGTGTAATTGATTTCTTGCCACATGTGATTTTTGGGATCTTTTGCATGTGTTCCTTTTGTTGATTCTTATCTGCTCTTCCAAAACTTATGTGTAACTTGACAGTGATGATTTATTTTTCCTCTCAGCATTTTTCTGTACATTTCTTCCGTTACAAACGTTTATTTGCATTTCACAGTCTAATTTGTATTATTCCTAGAATTGAAGATTATTAGAATTTTGTGTATAGTATCTGTTACTTTCAAATATATTGCAAATATATAAGTATTTGATATTAAATAGGTTCTTTTTCATGGCATGCATATTTCTTCGTTTTCAGGGTACAAGTTCCCTAAACTGGAAAGTCAGACTATTTTCCATTCAATATTAGTGACAGAAAGAAAATACAAACAAACTTATACAGGAAATATTTCTTTAAATCTGTAGTGACCTCATAATTAGGTTTGCTAAAAGCATACAAATGACATGTATTTTCCACCTCTGCCTTTTCTCAAATTCATAAAAGATTAAGAAAAAAGGAGGTGGTTTATTTAGAGGTGCGTTCATCTTTTTATGTGCTGCCATTTTACTCAAAGAATGGCAGAAAAGAGGGAAACTTTAAAAAATTAATTACTCACAGATGCTGTTTAGATGAGTCAGGAAAACATGAATGAGTTTGAAGTCACTTGTGTATTATTCATTGAAATATGAGTGCTGATTTGATTGCTTTATTCTAGCTATGCAAGAGAATCCAACAAATTAATAGACCTTCCGGACGACTACAGCTGCCTCATTAACCAAGCATCCAATTTCTCGTAAGTTGTATGCAATTACATGAGCACCCCAAAGTCTGCTGCTCCTTTTCATCAGCTGGGAAACCTTTAACCTGGAAGTCTCAGAAGGCTGTGTATGGAATCATAAAGGGCACACAGCATTTATCAGCCAAACTATCCTGTATTTTAGTGAAACAGTGCAATAGAAATTTCAGCTGTTAACTGTAAAAGTGTTCAAAAGTACTTCTGAATCTTTTTTGCTATCTAGAGTTTGCACATACAGTGGGTTTCTTTTTATTTTGTTTTTTCCCTAACAAAAGGTGTCCGAAATCAGGTGGTGACAAAAGCAGAGCCCCAACATTGTGCCTTGTGTGTGGGACCATGCTGTGTTCTCAGAGTTACTGCTGCCAGACTGAACTTGAAGGGGAAGATGTTGGAGCCTGTACTGCACATACATACACTTGTGGTTCTGGAGTGGGTATATTCCTTAGGTAAGGAGCTGAACACTTCTCCTTTCATTTCTGGGTTAGATGGTGTGTATAGTTATTAAATTAATAGTTCTATATATAGGATTGCAGGGGTGGTTTGTAAAGGCAGTATTTTGTTAACAACAGGGTTGCCTAAAAACTAAAGTGTATTCATCTTCGTATGCTTTGGTGTAAGGTTCAGAGGTTGCCTCTTTGAAGATAAAACTTCAAAGAAAGTTCAAATTTCATTTTCAAGTGAATTTGTTTTGCCTGTGCATTTATTTCTACTCAAGTATTACTAAATGATGAAGATAGATACTTGTATTTTGTTGCTGCTGTTGGTGGTGAAAAAATAAAAACTCATTTTAGTTGTGTTCCTGCTTATAGAGAAGGGTTAGATAATGCATATTTTCACTTCGACAAAGATTAGTGAGAAGCAAAATTGTTTACTTGTAGTTCTGTTGGGTATTTTACTCATACTGAAAATAGTAAGACATGAAATGACATTGTTTTTAACTGCTACTGAGGAGTTATAACAGGAAGAGAATGAGAAATGTAGTTTAAATAAAAATGTGTCTTTAAGAATCTGTACATGCAGATTATACAGAATGAAAGTAGGTAAGAACTGGAAAAGCAGTGCCTATGAAAGTATGAGAAACTATTCACTTAAAAATCAATACCTAAAAATCTTCTCTCTGTCTCTCTCCAGAGTACGAGAATGTCAGGTGCTATTTTTAGCTGGGAAAACAAAGGGCTGCTTTTATCCTCCTCCTTACCTTGATGACTATGGAGAGACAGACCAGGGACTCAGGTAAATATTTTAAAAGCTACATCTTTTAAACACAGGAATTATAGAACTATCTGTAATTAGGAAAAATAACTTTTTATGTTATCCTTTAATTATATAGGTAACATTATATTTTGATATTGCTGCTGCATATAGTATCTTCAGATGTTTTAATGTTAATATGTGGGTTTAGGTCAAAAATATTTCAGGGATGGTCTTCCCTAGGTTAAAAACAGTGGTCTTGGAAACTGTTAAAAGTTAAATCTTTCTAGTGTCTGTGAAGTTGGCTAGAAACTAAGCTTGAAAATTTCATTTGTATCTAGTGCATTTGTTTTTATAACTTGTGTTAATTTAATACCAAGTGGGAATAATACGATATTATTTTATTTAATGTAGTAGTTCTTTGTCTTAGCTCCTATCTCTGCTTCCCATGCAAGGGCAATTTAGGGACTTGATATTGTTAATGCTTGCCATTTCTGAATGGCAAAACCAGAGAATATGAACTGGTTCAGCCTGGAAAGGTTGCTAAAAACCTGCATTTGGAGTTCTGTGAGCTGGATTTGAGGTTTCCAGAGGCTGGAGGGAACTGTTGAGCTGTAAGGAACGGGAATCAGACAAGGTAGCACTGCAGGTTACTCATCCAAATACCTGTTGATTTGTTCTGATAACAGAATAATGTTAAAGGGTTATCTAAATATTGTAGTATTCTTTGGGGTTATCTAATACTTAGTGTGTCACACCTGAGTGTTTGTGCTTAGTTGCAGTGTTTTATCATTCCTGATAAGTGTTATCTCCTTTTCAGACGTGGGAATCCCTTACATCTGTGCAAAGAACGATTTAAAAAGATTCAAAAACTGTGGCAGCAGCACAGTATTACAGAGGAAATTGGACATGCACAAGAAGCAAATCAAACTCTAGTTGGCATTGATTGGCAGCATTTATAATGATTATCTGCTGAAGACTGGAACTTTAATAAAGATTTTTGTAATTCAGTAAGCTTTTCAAAGGAGGGATGAGGAAAAAAGTCTAAGGAAAAAAACCCCAGCAAACTCAGTCCTGTTATTTAATCTTTGTTTTACAATGTATTTCATAAAGATACCAGTTAACATTAATCAAGTAAACTTCTTTCTATGTAAGCAAGTTTTATTAGTCCTATAATTTGCACTGTGCTTCCTTCACAGAAATGTCTTGGGTTTATAAACCTGGGCAAATGAACTTAAGTTTCTGATAAAAAAAGAATGACTCTTTTTGGAAGTCTGACTATGATTTTTCATATGAACTGAAGAGACAAAAGACTGCTGAAACAGAAACTAGATAGAGCACAATTCCGGATTGTGTTTTGCCCCTTGCTAGTAATCTGAGCCGGTTTATTTATTACTCTGCATTTTAATACTTACGCTGTGTGTACATGCAATGGAATGAAGTAAGGAAGCAAATAATGTAGCAAATGGATGTTTCTGTCTGCATCAGTGGATAATTCACTCTTTCACTTGGTGTATCTGAAATGGATTTTGTCATTTGTACTCTTGCAGCTTTCTTGCTTCCAGTTGTTTTTTAACTAAAAAAACTAACACTAGCTTTACAAGTAAAATAATTTAATTTAAAGCTTTTTCCAGAGCATTGCACTCCTTAGAATTATGTAGTTTTTAATTTGAATTTAGCTGGGAAACCCTTTCACTTTCAATTATGTGATCAGTTACTGGTATTCAAGGATTGACATTGTGCTTTAGAAGTTATTTTAAGATAACAATAATATGTAAAAGTCACGAAAGCTAATTTTATGTTAATTTTCAGAAGCACAAAAGATATTTACTTCATTTTTGTTGACAGACAACTTTGAAGGTGCAAATCCCATCTTTTCGTTACAGATAAACTGAGTGGTTTCCTCTGGCTTTGAAGGGCCACAATCACACTGCCCACATTTTTGACTTTTGATTTGTTTTCTTTCCTGTTGTCCCATCAAGTATATTTACTTTCTGGCTTGATTTAAAGCTCTGTAAAGATGTTTGCATATAGTATATTTTATAAATATATTCTATAACTGCGCAGATTTGCACTTGATATGAGGGTGCCTGAAGGCAGTGAGTTTTCTAGTTGTATGTAATTAGACCTCCAAGGTCTAAGGTCTAAGGTCTCTAAAAATCACATTATGCTTACTGATTGAAAATAAAATCCATTACCTTTCCCTCTCCTATCTTCTGACAAATTAGTAAAATCTTAATTTACATAGTTCTATTCCCTTAATAGTCTGTGGTTCTTTTAGTTAAGTCTTAATTTCTGACTGCGTCTCAGCCCGGATAAACAATTCCTTTCACTGTCTGCCAGGTCTTCAGTTACACTTGGTCTAACTGAATTGTTCCTATTTTTACAGATTTGATGCTTCAGATAAGTTTTGTATATTCATGGTGTACAGGGCAATTTTTCAAACATTGACTAATAGTATTGAGTGAAGATGTGAAGTATCAAATAAAGAAACTTGGCCAATGTGGATTTCCTTTTATTAACATCAGGACAAACTACTTTTGTCTGTATTACCTGTCACAGTTTGGATCATTTATATATTTTTGTCACTTTTTATGAAGAGACATGGAGAAATTGCAGGGGAAAATGACATTAATGCTTTACCTCTTCCCTTCCCTACTTAGAGTGGTTGACATTGACAACAATTTTCTGTGCATGGTACTTTAGAAATCCCACTTCTATGGTGATGTTACTATTTCTTTGCTTTTTAAACTATGTGCCACAGTTTCAAGTAATGTGTAACTGCATTGAAAAACTTTTCCTGTAATCATAATATTAAAAAAATAATCAATGATTCTGACAGATTTCTCTGTGCAAACCAAAATATTGACAGCAAGAAGGATTTTTTTGTTTTGCCTTTGGGATCAAAGTTGGAGACTGCAACCACAAATAGTTGCAAAGTACACAATTTATCTTTTTTTTTGCAATTTGGTCATTCTCTGCTCAAGACTTATTTTCTGATTTGGTTTGCATGTGTTTATATTAATGTAGAAATATTTATATATAATATTGTTTCAGTATCAGGGAAAAAAATCTGTAATAAATTTGCTATAACTTTAATATTTATGGATTATGTGTACAGTCTAGAATGTATTATGTGTTTGAGGGGAGAAAAAAAAATAACAAGAAACCTGACAAATATTCCCAAGTACTAAGCTATCATAACAAAATAGAAAACTAAACTGAAAGCATCAAGGATGAGCTTTTTGTGTCAACATCCAATAAGTACTTTTTAAATGTTGTTTTTAGAATTTTGCTGAACTTGTTTCTTCAAGTGTGCCCCTTGTTAATCACAAGCTGACAGAAATACCTGGATGTGCAACATCTGCAATTCCCTGGCTATAAATCTAAGATGATTATATTATTAGTGTCACTTGCTTCAGTCAGCTAAACCTTTCTTGACCTCTACAAAAAAGTCTAATCGTCTTTTTAAAGGATTGTAAGTTAAATTTTGTAAAGGGATAAGGGTTGAGTACATCAGTAACATTATTTACTCTGTTCATACTAGAAGATAACTCTTTTACTCCCCCCAGCCTGCCACAAGAGGCTCATTTTTATTCCAATATAACCAAATAATGAACTCCTGATGCCTTCTGACTGCCTCTGTGCCAAGAGCCAGTGCTGCCACAGCTCTCTAACCACTTCATCTGATGTTACAGGGAGTTTGGCTGAGAGGAAGTGCTTGTGGAGTCTCAAGACTATTTTCATTTTCAGCTCTCCTCTGGTTCTCTACAGCTTCCGCCTATATCCCTTAAGCTAGTCTTTAAAACTGATCATTAAGCAAGTAAATTTCATGCCTTCCCACTTTATTAGCCCTGGGAACAACCTGGACTTGAAGGGTTGTGTTCCTGCAGTATACAGCTCGCTCCTTTTCCTGGGACAGTGGACATGGAGTGAGCAGCTGCACAGACCCTTTTCTGTCCTTTCTCATTAGATGTGAACTAATAATTTCCTTGCCTCATGCTTGTGCTCGAGCCCTGGCATCTCATTTTAAGTGCATTTTATTTTATGTTAAATGACACTGTTGTGTTTAGAAGCTCTGTCATAATGAAAATTTCCTCTGTGGCCTGAATGTGTAGAGGAGAAGCTGGATGCTCAACTGACCTTCAGCATTAAATCCCAGCTGCTTTCCTTTCTGGAGGATTAAATTGTACAAGGGGAGTTGCATCTCAAATCTCTTCACAGTAGTGTTGTGTCATGAGATGAACTGAGTTTTCAATCAGCCTCCCTTCTGCCTTGGACTTTCCTCTGCTCCTTTCTAGGAATTGCCTCCAGCAGGAAGTGGTGACCCTCTATTTCCATTCTGCTGTTGAGATTATTGTCAAATATGACAGTATTAGACAGTTTGGGCTTGAATATCAGCCCCTGGGGAATTCCTCATGTAACTGGTTTGCTTCCAGCTGTTCATTGCCACCCTCTGAGCCTGAAAATCCAGCCAAGATTCTGTTCACCTTGCAGTCTGCCCAGTTTACAACTCCCCAAATTGGTTATGAGGATGTCAGAAATCATATTGAAAGTTTTTCTCAAGTAAGACATCTGCTGTACAGAGAAAGTGTTTTACAGCAGCAAAATACCTAAAAAATAGACACTTCTGGTAAAAGTGAGAATTACTGGGGTCATCTTTATGGGTTTTTATGGCTCTAGGGATCTGAGTATTTTTATGCTGGAATCAGCATAGCTTTTATTGAACCAGTCCTGCATCACAGTGGGAATGGATTGGTGCTTCTCATATCTTAACTGTCATTAAAGGAACTTTCTTAGGGAGGCATCTCCTTCTCTACCATTAGCTGTTCAGTTCCACATGGTGATTGTCCCAGAGTTCTTGATGCTGTGTGAAGAAGGTTGCAGACTTCATGGTAACAGCAGTGGATTCAGTTATTCAGGCCTGCCTTCTGCAGGACTGCTTTCAGGTGCTGGAGAGGTGCAAGCCAGGGAGCCTGCCAGCCACCCCTCTGCATGCACAGCCAGCACGTTGCAGTTTGACTCTGCTTTCTCTGGGTAGCTGGTTCAAGCTGTATGGAATGGCTTCTACATCTCCTCAGGGACAGGCACACAGAAAGGTTGCTTAGCAGCAGTGGGAAGTCTTACAGGCAAGTTGTCTTTAGGGAAATGTCTCTCTTACCATGAATCCTTTTTGGTTTGGATTTTTTTCCTCTTGAGTTTTGAATGTTGGGGATTTAGAGTAGAGTTGGTGTTTCTTTTTGGGCTGTGTTCATGCAAATGTGGAAATAATCTCTTGGGAAGAACTTTGTAAATAAGTATTGCTTAAACAAAAGCTGTGTCCATCTGCTAGTGACTGATGGAAGCCATGTGGATGCAAGGATAGCACACTTTATGTCCAGCTGCAGATAATTCCAAGCTATGAGTGAGCTTTACCCTGTGAGAGTGTCATTTGCTGGTTTGGAGAACTGGCTGACTGATGGAAGGGCATCACTGTAAGCCTGGGATAAGTACATAAGGTTGCCTGCTTGGCTGCTGGGGCTGCAGGGAGAGCACATGCCACAGGCAGCTCTGGAGCTTGGAGGCATGGCCAGGAGGAGCTGGAACCTCCCTACCTTTCCTTGCTGCCAGTCAGCAGTGCCCATGGAGTCTGGGGATTCTGCTGTTGTGGAAGTTTGAACTGTTGGGTCAGGAACAGGGAAGAACGTGGGGATCCCAGCCTTGGCTGAGGCTCTCAATCTGTCAGTGCTTTCTCTCAGATTTGGTTCTTGAAACTGATCCACCAGAAGACTCTGAGGCTTGACTAAAAGTCCCACAGAGCTGTGTTTTTCAACAGTTAAGCAACTTTTTTTCAACAGTGGGAAGAAGGGATTTCAATATTCCATTTTATTCCAAGGCTAAGGGTCAGGAGAAATAGTGAATCCTGGTTCTGTTCTGGGAGAATAAGCTCTCTAATGGCTATTTCAGATGTGACTTCTTTGCAACAGAATTGAGCCAGTTTTGTTGATAATACTATTTGTCACCTTATAGTAGTCAATGTGTATTGGTTAAATGTGTTACAGGCTGATAGAGGAATATAAGCTGCAGTAAAATAGTTCAGATTTTTACAAAGCAGAGTGCTGTATTAGCATATGTTGGGCATACCTTTTACCCTTCTGCTCATGTCAGGAGCATGCTGCCCCTTATCCAGTCCCCCTTATCACCAGCTGGCCCTGAGAAGTAGCTGAGTATTTATGATGTATTTATTTCTGAAAGCTCAGTCCTAAAACATCCTCTCACTTCAGCTTGAGACCCTATAGAAGGGCATGGTGATTTCATCTTATTGAAGTTCACTGTAGACACCACCGAGGTGTGTGTGTGTGTGTCCGTCCAAGAAGTCTGGCCAGGACTAGGTGCTACAGAGGACAGGCTTTTGGAAATCTCTTTTTTATTCTTTGGGATTTGGTAGGACCTGTGGGACTGTGTTTTGCCTCAGTATCCTGCTTCACCCATCCTAAATCTCAAGTAAGGCTGCCTGTTGTCTTTTCCTGTTTTGGGTGCTTTGGCTGGTACATGAAGAGGAATGGCACACACCACACACTCTCCCTCTTGTTGCCAAAACACAGGTCTGCTGCTGAGAAGACGACTGTACCAGGGTCATTTGGAGATCAGGCTTCCTGGGCTGGGTGGAAACAGCACATTTCTCAGCATCTTCCCACTTCATTGCTGTCAGTCACATCCCTTGTTATCCATACATGCTACTCTTTAAAGGCTTGCTCAGTTACTTCTGCTGTTTCATACATGTACATACATGTGCGTTTCTATCCATACTTCATTCATGGCAGATTTAACATTTCTTCTACAAATCTTTGTTCCACAGATAAAAACTACTTTGCATATTTTTATCTTGAGTCTTTTGCATATTAATCTATTTTTCCTCCCCCACTCCCTGTTCTTCTGCCACCTTTCCCCTTTCCTGGCATACAAACATTAAGTGCCCAAATCTTACATCTTTGATGGAGAGATTTGTCAAACACTCCTCTCTTGGAGGAAAAAAGAAAAGGGAGAGTATGAGGAGTTTCGCAGTGCGCCAGGTGTAGGAGCTACGAAATGGCAAGTACTGATCTTCGTCTCCATGACAGCAATGATTAAATGTTACTTTTTCATCAGTTTGTGAATATATATTTTCACAGTCTCTTTTCAGACAGCGTGAGCTCGGAGGTGGTAAGTTTTCTAGCTTGTCCTTTGCGTGGGATCCTGGAAGGAAAGCCAGACTGGGTAGAGAGCCCTGGGCAGGGTGGGACAGCTGAGCTCAGGTTAGGGATGGTGTCTGTGCAGACCACTGCAGAATATTTCAGGACTTATAAAACCAAAGTGTTGATTTGAAATCAACCACGTATTTGAGGAACAACGTGTGAAACGTATTTCTGTACTTGCAGTACCCTTAAGTGTGGAGGATGGTAAAGTGTGTTAATGAATAGGAGAGAAGATTACATAAAAATAACGAGGGCGAGGAGATCAGCAGTGTGTTCACTGATGTAATT